CATGCACTGCTGATGTTATCCAGAAAGAAAATGAAAGCTCTGAAACGAAACCAGCTAGCTCAGAGAACTCGACAACGCAAAAATCCGAAATTATTAATGACGATTCAAAGAAGAAATTTCTACTTTCGATGACATTATTCAATCAAGTTTTAAAATTGTACCTAAAACAATCCAATATATATGTTAGTCTAATGAAAAAAAGGAGGAATGTTAGCATAAGGTGTTTGGAAAATTCAAATATCTACAGAGTGCTGTGTAAAGATCGCGCACACTAGAAAACTCAAAGCACTTCGTTGTGTTATTGTTTCTCTTTTTTCCAGGGGACGAATATATTTAGTGAATTGTTATAAATACGACCATAAAACTTGTCGTCGATAATAAATTTTTTTTCGCTTAATCGTCTTCATTTTTTCGATAACACAGTGGTTACATTTCGCCACACTAAAACCCTGAATACTCCCATATAATAAATTAGAACAACTCATATAAGCGAACAATATTACTTTCACTTAGATTTCTATTACGCTTTACTCTGATATACAGTATATCCGGAAATATTATACTAATTACAGATGGTCGACAATGTTCTATTAATCAGAGTTAACAGATCTCTGCAAACATCAGCATTACTACTTGTGTTAGAATAAAAACATATAAACCGATTATTTCGAAGGAAGTATCTCTTTGAAATTTATTCAAATGTTTACTTATAATTATCAAGATGATCTAGGTAGTTCATGTGTACCAAAGAAGGACAGGATTAATATTGTGATGACTCACACTTTATAAATTATAACTGGTGAAATAACAGAATGTATTCGAACGACTATCTTCACTGTATTTGTGTTTTAATTCGTTGTAATGAAATGTAAATCAAAGGAAGCTTTAAAAAACCTGTTGAACATTTTTATAAGTTTCGAAACTCTGTGGCATAAAAGAAGCACATATTGATTTGCTAGAGATCACTTGTAGTAAGCCCATTCAACTACTGTATTATATATCTGCTCACTGTAATTTAGACACATAATCCACTATGTAAATTTCTTTGTGAGTATGATTGAGCACATGTCTGCACTCAATTCAATCTATTCTCCCACTGTTTGTAATAAAAGATAATAATTTGCCCGTACTTGATTAGCACTCATAAATATATGGATTTTTAACACACACAGAAATACACACACTCTTGTTTCCCATGTGTGCGTGCTTCCTATACGCTTGAGGATTTTACCAATCTTTAACAATAAACTTTTCTCTATAAATGGTGTTAAGGCTTTTGAATAATCTCGAATAAATCCATAATTCCACTAGGAGATTTAGCCTGCATTAAATACTCAGTTAACGGGATACTATTTATTAGAGTCAGATATAGGAGAAATAAGCTTCTACACACTGGTGAAATGCTCATTTGTTTTTCCATCATCGTATCAACTTGTACAATCATTCAAACGAAAGCTAGAACAATAGTATGTCTATACCATGTCCCGTTTTTCCTTACTTGGATATCTGTCTTATAGGATATTTGAATTCACTTTTGTAAGGTTTGTTTTGCAATGTGAGACTGGTCTTGGAATTTTTTTTCATTACACCTAATATTATCATACAATATTAAACTCCGCCTGGAGTCCCTCCGGGGGCTACTGCCGGTCCCAAGCCCGGATAAAGGAGGAGGGTTGGGCATGGGGTTAGCGTCCCCATCCCGTAGAAAACTAACTCGCTAAAAAAACGCTAACCAGAAAAAATTATTCAAACCTTTTAAACTCTGCCCTGGGAGTCAGAAGGTCTTCATTTAGAAGAATTATGACGCCTCATGATGAAAGCCGAATTCCTTCGGAAGTTACGAGGCCGATGCCCCTTCTGACAACCAGAGCAACCATTTATTTAGGTACATGGAATGTTCGTACAATGTGGGACACCGGAAGAGCCTTCCAAATTGCTGCAGAAATGAGAAGATACAACCTAGAGGTACTTGGGATCAGTGAAACACATTGGACACAAGTTGGACAACAACGACTAACTACAGGAGAGCTCCTGTTATACTCCGGCCATGAAGAAGAAAATGCACCACATACACAAGGAGTTGCATTGATGCTGTCCAAACAAGCGCAAAATGCACTTATAGGATGGGAATCTCATGGACCAAGGATCATCAAAGCCTCGTTCAAAACAAAGAAAGAGGGCATTTCAATGAACATCATCCAATGCTATGCGCCTACCAACGACTACAATGAAGACGCTAAAGATCAATTCTACAATAGGCTGCAGTCAATCGTCGAGAAGTGCCCAACAAAGGACCTGACCATTCTGATGGGAGATTTCAACGCCAAGGTTGGAACGGACAACACTGGATATGAAGACATCATGGGACGACACGGACTGGGAGAAAGGAACGAAAATGGTGAGAGATTTGCAAATCTATGTGCCTTCAATAAGCTGGTCATAGGCGGCACCATATTCCCACATAAACGCATACACAAAACCACATGGACTTCACCGGATCACTCTACACAAAACCAAATCGACCATATTTGCATCAACAAAACGTTCAGGAGGACTATAGAGGACGTGAGAACCAAGAGAGGAGCTGATATAGCATCAGATCATCACTTACTGGTCGCCAAGATGAAATTGAAACTCAAGAAGCACTGGACAACGGGGCAGACAGTATCACAAAAGTTCAATACGGCCTTTCTCCAGGATACTAACAAACTCAACAAATTCAAGATAGTCCTCAGCAACAAGTTCCAGGCCTTTCATGATCTACTCAATGGAGAAGGAACTACTGTGGAGAGCAACTGGAAGGGGATCAAAGAGGCAATCACTTCAACATGTCATGAGGTCCTGGGTCACAAGAAGCACCACCACAAGGAATGGATCACTGTTGATACACTGGATAAGATTCAAGAAAGAAGAAACAAGAAGGCAGCGATCAATACCAGTCGAACAAGAGCAGAAAAAGCCAAGGCACAAGCTGAATACACGGAAATAAACAAACAAGTGAAGAGGAGCATCAGAACCGACAAACGTAAATATGTGGAAGATTTAGCAACGACGGCGGAAAAGGCTGCAAGAGAAGGAAACATGAGACAATTGTATGACACGACAAAGAAACTCTCTGGAAATCGCCGCAAACCAGAACGACCAGTGAAAAGCAAGGAAGGCAAGGTAATCACCAACATTGAAGAGCAACAAAACAGGTGGGTAGAACACTTCAAAGAACTCTTGAATCGACCAGCTCCACTGAACCCACCCAACATCGAAGCAGCACCCACGGACCTCCCAATCAATGTTGGCCCACCAACAATTGAAGAAATCAGCATGGCCATCAGACAAATCAAGAGTGGCAAAGCAGCAGGACCGGACAACATCCCAGCAGAGGCACTAAAAGCAGACGTAGCGGCAACTGCAAGGATACTCCACATTCTCTTCAATAAGATTTGGGATGAGGAACAAGTACCAACAGACTGGAAAGAAGGACTTCTGATCAAAATACCGAAGAAAGGCGATCTCAGCAAGTGTGATAACTACAGGGGCATCACTCTTCTCTCAATACCGGGAAAAGTCTTCAACAGGGTATTGTTAAACAGGATGAAGGACTGCGTAGACGCCCAACTTCGTGACCAACAGGCAGGATTCCGTAAGGATAGATCGTGTACAGACCAAATCGCAACTCTACGGATCATTGTGGAACAATCAATTGAATGGAATTCATCACTCTACATCAACTTCATTGACTACGAAAAGGCATTTGATAGCGTGGACAGAACAACACTATGGAAACTTCTTCGACACTACGGCGTGCCTCAGAAGATAGTCAATATCATACAGAACTCATATGATGGATTACACTGCAAAATTGTGCATGGAGGACAGTTGACAAAGTCGTTCGAAGTGAAGACCGGTGTCAGGCAAGGTTGCTTACTCTCACCCTTTCTCTTTCTCCTGGTGATCGACTGGATCATGAAGACGTCAACGTCTGAAGGGAAGCGCGGGATACAATGGACATCTAGGATGCAGTTGGATGATCTAGACTTCGCAGACGATCTGGCCCTTCTATCCCAAACGCAACAACAGATGCAGGAGAAGACGAACAGTGTGGCAGCAGCCTCAGCAGCAGTAGGTCTCAATATACACAAAGGGAAAAGCAGGATTCTCCGATACAACACAGAATGCACCAATCCAATCACAATTGACGGAGAAGATTTGGAAGATGTAAAAACCTTTACGTATTTGGGCAGCATCATTGATGAACAGGGTGGATCTGATGCAGATGTGAAGGCGCGGATCGGCAAAGCAAGAGCAGCATATTTACAACTGAGGAACATCTGGAACTCAAAGCAACTGTCAACCAACACCAAGGTCAGGATTTTCAATACAAATGTCAAGACAGTTCTACTGTATGGGGCAGAAACCTGGAGAACTACAAAAGCCATCATCCAGAAAATACAGGTGTTTATTAACAATTGTCTACGCAAAATACTTCAGATCCATTGGCCGGACACTATTAGCAACAACGTACTGTGGGAGAGAACAAACCAGATCCCAGCGGAGGAAGAAATCAGGAAGAAGCGCTGGAAGTGGATAGGACACACATTGAGGAAAGCACCCAACTGCGTCACAAGACAAGCCCTCACATGGAATCCTGAAGGTCAAAGGAAAAGAGGAAGACCAAAGAACACATTACGCCGAGAAATGGAGATAGACATGAGAAAAATGAACAAGAATTGGATGGAACTAGAAAAGAAGGCCCAGGACAGAGTGGGTTGGAGAATGCTGGTCAGCGGCCTATGCTCCATTGAGAGTAACAGGCGTAAGTAAGTAAGTAAGTAAGTTGTAAGGTTTGTTTTGCAATGTGAGACTGGTCTTGGAATTTGTTTTCATTACACCTAATATTATCATACAATATTAAAAAATAAATGTAAACTATGATTGAATTCCATTAGTGCTTTCATTGTTATTGGTAAATATGACGGTAATTTGTTTTACTTTATTCAATTGGTGTTCACAGTCAGTGAGCATGCAGCAGCATTACAAAATGTGACTGGCTTATTATTTCTTCAGAACAAATGAACGACCAGTTGGTTTAGTGACACATATTAAACTATTGTGTTCAGTATTTTAAAATTCTTCGAAGGCATTCTGTGTCAGGAAATCAATTGGATTGTATCAAGGTGAGTTAAAAAGTCTTTTAGTTATAATGTTACTCCGAATTATTGTCTATAACGTGATATTTTGAGGCATTTTCTAAAATGTTGGTTTATTGTTGATTTGATGGTGACACATTGATGATTCAGATGCATACTGACTGAAAAAATTCTGTTTGAAGCACGTGAAAAGTCTGAGAAACAGAACATGTGACAAGGTGAAATTTCCACAGACCTGAGAGTAATTTTCTAAAAACGTCAATTTACACAATCTGATATGTTGTTTAATAAACCTAATAGTCCAACATTTTAGTTGAGACTAATACACTTAGTTAAATGAGTTAAAATCCAACAACTACACACTGATGATTAATGATTTCGTCTTTGTGTTGATCCATTCCGATCGTTGTGAAAATTTTCATAAGCTTTCACTTAGACCACTATGAAAATCAAACTGTTACTTTTGCCGAATTTATGAGTATAATCAGTGATATACTTCTAGTTACCTAAAATGATTAAAGAGTATGCCTATTTGGTAAAGTTCCACTGACATACCTGTGAGTTTCTAGTTGGTGAGAATACGTTTTAAGGTTTTGAAAAACAGCATCACTCGTCCCATGTTTATTATGTCAAGTGGAATTACATTCGATGTAGAAACAGATAGGTTAACTGTTACATGATTGTTATTGTTGTGTAAATGCGGAACATGTATGCGGATCGATGGTATGGTTTGTTGGTTATTGCGGATAAGATAGATACACATGTTACTGAATACACTCAAACATTTACATCATTTATTATTGAAATGTTCTACTGAGATTTGACTTAAAGAATGAAGGTTTACTTCTCATTTATTTGGTTAGCTTATCAGATGGAAATTAAATGTGTTTTACAAAAGATCGCTATTGGGTCATTTTTGTTAAGAGTGTTCATCTTGAAACTAAATAGAACGTTTCAATAAAGATCAACTGAACTTTATAAGCAACCATGATATTCAGGGTAAATGTTACCATTACTTAGGTCAAATCGTCTCACCCGATTGGTAGCAGACGCATTTACAAAACAGATATATATTTTGATAGCTGAGTGACTGAGCAGGAAAGGTAATTGTTTGTGTATTATGTCTCCTTTGTCTTTTTCAATTTGCACGAAGAACAGTCTCAACATGTATGTCTTGTTCAATGGGTAAAAGTCAGATTGTCAGTTTCAGTTTTCGCAATCTCCCAACATCACACCCCAAGTCCCGAATGCAATCGGATTCCAGCAGTTTGATAAATAAGTTGTAGGTGACTTTACATGCTTTCAGTAATTGGAGAAATGGAGAAAATCTATTGGTTTACAGCATTTAGAAGTGTGTGTGTATGATTCTGTTGAGGAGGACAATTAAAACCTTCACTGTCAGACCATCTGGAACAGGGTACACAACAGCTCAACAATATGTTACCGGTTTGAGTTATGTGTGTTTACATATAAGTTCAAAAATATCCTGTGTTTTGTAGCTTATATTACTGGTTGACCATTTTTAAATACAGTACTGTAAAAGATTATTCGACGAGTCTACAGATGCATGTGTGACAATGTTTCACATCAATAGTAGGTTTATCTGTTGGAGAGAATCTTATTATTTGACTTTTAATTCATTGGTCAGCTTGTTTTACACTCTATGTTATGTAACGCATGCATATGACTTGGTTTTCAGCTGAATATTCAGTGCCACTTTTTCTCTTTATAATCAAGTTGGAAAATGGTCTGGTTCAAATTCTATCCATCTCAATTACCCATATTCGCAGCGTGTTATGCATTGTTCTTGTTACCCATAGGGTAAGTAAAGAATGTTCTACACACAATTATTTTTCTGTTAGAATTGAATGACACCATAATTTCTGATAATCTACTAAACAGATTCAGTTTAGAATAGTATATATTACAGAACACAGTTTAACACAGAATTCCTATTAAATTTTCTCGTAAGCTTTATAGAAAATAGTGTGAATACCTGATTAACCGAAGAGATTCAATAGCTGATTTTCTGTCAACCAATACACAAACTTATACTGAATGATTGTTCGACGATAATGCTTACAAAGATAATGGAATTATGCCTAAATTCGTGTACAGTGACAGCATAAGTTGATCGACTATGGGCTTTACGTAGTGCCACCTGATATATTTCGTACACTCAAATGTTGAACAAAGTGATTTTTACCAGGAAACGGTCAAGACGTGAAAACCAGTGAGAATTAGGGAGAACTGTAAGCCTAATTAAATGTGGTTCGAAATTTCTGAAGGGATAGATTTAAAGATACAAACAGGGTCAAACAACCTTAGACATTTTACTTGTTATACCATATGATTACTCTAAGTTTCTGAATTAAAATACATTGCTGCACTCAGTAGCCATGATAAACCTGTAAACCTGTGATACTGTAAAACTGTTTTCTAAGAGGATGATTGATTTTCATCATAATAAATTGTGCAGTGTGTCAGTGAATTTCATCATGTTTATTGATGATAATTAATAATAAATTCTCTTCACAAAATAAACCCAACGATGGTATTTGTGTTTTTGGTGAAATATGTTTGAAAGTGAACAGTCTTAAGGCGACTGTGCTAGGTTTGTGCATTGAATAATTGGAATTTCTAGGTTAATGAACGCTTGGTTTATCAATACACAGCGACTCGTGATAATGATGAAGTGGCCATCTGGATACAGCATAAGAGCCTTCGATTATCCGAGCATGCAAATATATAGGATTCACAACCACTACGAACAGGCTGTCTCGACCTATGGATAAAGAATTTACTTCGAGACAAACCCATGTGTCACTTGAGGAGTTGTTGGTCGCTGACGGTGACATTTCCTTTAACAGACTTATTTTGAAGAAAAATCATTTGGTTTTTGATGACTGTCTATTGTTATTAAAATGGCAGAAAGGTACACTCTCATTAGTGTTCATTTGTCTCAGGTGTTCCGTTTATGTTGAAAATACTACACCAACGTGCGCCTCTTCACCAAATAAACCGACCCCACTGTTTAAAAAATACACAACTGACAACATATTTGACTAGAATTGATATTGCCGGACGAAATTCACTACATTTAGGGGTCCGATAATACGTATTTCAATGACCGGCTGAAATGACCTTTTTGACTGACGGGAAGAGGGTAGGGGTGGATGGTGATGTGTGAGTGTGGAGAGGAGGATTAAAATAAATGTCGTGTTCTTAAAAAACTATCCCTGTTTAGATTGTGTGAGTCGAAATACTTGATATGCAATTAGTATTTAGTGTCGGTTGCTATGTTAAGCCCACACAGCTGGTGCTAGTTTCATCTGAAGCCAATTTATTTTGACCTTGTTAATTATTCACTTGACTGTTTTTATATGAGCGTATGTGTGTGCACTTCTCATCCTATTCATCACAAATCTCTAACTTATTTTTGTTTGACTATAAACATCGATACACGCTTGGTTGAATCGAGTTGGCTTTTGTGCCTACTCAACTGCGCGACAATTCGTTTCGTTTCGTTCCCTCTTATTCCCTGTTCATCTCTTCCTTCGCTACGTCTCTCTGATTGTCTGTTCCGATCAACGCTTGCACAAAATATTCTTATTCAAAGTCCATTCTGGTATTTGGCTTATTTAATTCCATTATTCACTGATGCGTTTTAAGTCGATAATAATATATGAGGAGAGCCGACATGTATATTTCGATAACAATCAATCATACAATAATACTGGAGTCAAATACCGTGCCCCTAAAGCATTAGCAGCATATAATAACGACCATTGAAAAATAATTTGAAATTAACTTCTACTACTGCTTAACTTCTTATTGATTTCCATCAACTAATACTTCAAATTTGAACAATCTCTTCATTTTATTTCAACACTAATAATAATTTACACGCGATCTGTTTCACTATCTCTATAATTCTATCATCTTTACAAAAAGTATTCTAATATACAGTTTGATTTGCATTCCTTCATAGGTCAACTGTAACCAGTGATCAGAGTTAAATTATGAAAATATGTAGTAATGTAGTCACATAAAATAATTAACTATATCGATTGAAGGAATATCTGTTTTAAGCACTTTTTCATAGTACATCTTAGTAGCGTAATGCACTTATTGTGTATCACCTTGATAATTTGGATTTCACATTCCATACAATCTAAATATTATCTAATGTAAATTATCTTCAATAAACAGTGTTCTATAATCGGAGATAAATCATTTAACCAATAGTATACTTATCAAAACACTGGTTTATACACCTGCAGATAAGCTAAATATTTCCAACTAATTTGGGATAGACAAGTAGTATTATTATATGTTTAAGCAAGTGTAAGAACGATTCACAATCATATCCATGATCTGTGTTTCATAATATCTAGGACTCATCAGTAAAATGTACGCAACACGTCAATGTTAATTCCTACTCTCAGACTCAACCATAGTGCCCTTCGATTCGAACACCCAAAACGTTATCCACTAAGTCATGGAGTTAATAGTGCTGTTTTATCTGTGTATCGATCTTTTCACAAATGAAATAAACTTCTATTTATGACTCACTACTCCGTAAATAATCACATATTGAGCTTTCATATCCATATGCTTATATGAACGGGCGTGTATGATGGTGTGCATTATCTGCCTACTCACTATTCACAAACTCGCCCAAGCATTAATTGCCTAAACGCTTGATAACTTATTCATATTTCCATGCACATTCAGTTGTTAAGTTTCACTGAACAATTCACGTCACTAGCTGTAGTTTTGCTGGTCGTGTAACTTGATCTGCTCGATGAAATAAACTATTATTATTAATAAATCACTCACTATTCTGAAAATTATACACCTCTGGAAATCATACTAATAAAGATTGTCCTATTAATTTATAGGTGAATCATAAGAGTAGTTCCAAGGATATTGTTGGGTCGGCTTCCGGAGAACTTCAACGGAGCCTCCAGAGGCCCACAAGGAGCCGAAGAGTCCTGGCCAATCAGAGTGTGATGGAACGTTCTAGAATTCCAACGTGGCGTGCTACTATTGGTCGGTAGCATAATGTGTTGTTATCGGATTGGCTGTAAAATGATGTTGATTTAACAGACGCCAAAATCTATAAATACCCATGATTTTCTGTACAAAGATGAACCTTGGAATAAAGTGCTTTCTCTCATTCTTGTGTCTTCTCTCTGGAGTTCAAGTCGCTGTGTAGTTCTAGACTGCGGGTTATCGGATTAGCTTAGGAATCGTATATAGCGTTCAACCTTATACGACTTATCAGTGGCGACGGGGATGAAAACTTCAATGAATATTTCCTTGGAGCAATTAGAAGCTTATATGGTGCGTCAAGAAAAGAGGTTTGAAGAGTCCCATATTAGAATCATGGAAACCCTGATGCAGAAATTCTGCCTGTCGGAGAAAAACCCTGCTTCTAGTGAATCTCAAGTATCACATACTGATTCAGTCATTAACGCCATCCATGAATTTAATTTTGATGGTGTAGCAGGTGTAACTTTCGAGTCGTGGTTTAAGAAGTATGAAGATTTGTTTTATATTGATCTTTGCAAACTGGATGATGCTTCAAAAGTCAGAATACTTCTTAGAAAACTTGGGACTATGGAACATGAACGCTATAGCAACTTCATTCTTCCGAAGAACCCACGAGATTTTAGTTTTGATGATACAGTCAAAACCCTATCCCAAATCTTTGGAGAACAATCATCTCTATTTAATATCCGTTACCAGTGCTTAAAGTTAACGAAAGAACCAGGAGATGACTGGGTGAAGCATGCAGGAACTGTGAACCGAGAATGTGAGAGATTTAAATTGTCGTCCATGTCTGAAGATCAGTTTAAATGCTTAGTATTTATCTGCAGCCTGCGTTCACCCGAAGATGCCGATATCCGAACCAGAATCCTAAGCAAACTCGAACACTGCCCTAACATGACCCTGCAAGAAGTGACTACTGAGTGCCAAAGGTTAGTAAACTTAAAGCATGATACCTCAATGGTAGAAAACGGTAACTGTTTCCGTAACGTCAATGCAGTCAAGAGAAAAGTCTTTCAAGGTTCCAGTACCCATAATTTCCAAAATAACAGCGACAAACCATCATCTCCATGCTGGGCATGTGGAGGTTGGCACTATAAGAGGTTTTGCCCACATAAAGAACATCGTTGCAGCAAATGTCATCGGAAGGGGCATAAAGAAAACTTCTGCAGGAGAAGAGACTATAGAAAACGTTCCGTGAAATCTTACTCAACGAAATACAGATATAGTGCTCCAACCAACAAGATATTGGTATCACATAACAGAGCACGAAGTTGCCACCAAAGAAAGTATGTGACCTTGAATATTAATAAACACCGTACCCGCCTTCAGCTGGACACAGCTTCTGATATTACTTTAATCAGCCCAGAAACGTGGAAGAACATTGGGAGACCCACAGTTTTCCCAACAACACAGCTGGCACACAGTGCATCTGGAGGGAAGTTGAATATTGTTGGAGAAGTGCCATGCATTGTTTCTAAAGGTACGGTAACAACAAATGCAATATTGTATCTTACTAAGAAGCCAGCACTAGACTTAATGGGGTTGGACCTTATAGAAACACTTAAACTAGCAGATCATTCTATCAACAGTATCTGCAGACGAGTAAGTACAGACAACACCCCAGAATGGAATCAGAAAAACGCCATGCTACAAAGACATCAAAACGTGTTTAGAGAGGGATTGGGAGAATGTACGAAAGCTAAAGCACTGTTAACTCTAAAACCTGAAGCTGCTCCCGTTTTTCGACCTAAAAGACCTGTACCCTATGCTGCTCTTCCAATAGTTGAACAAGAATTACAACGACTTCAGCAAATGGGTGTTATCGAGCCTGTGAACTTCTCGAATTGGGCTGCACCAATAGTGGTGGTCAAGAAGTCGAATGGAAGTGTTCGTTTATGTGCAGACTACTCCACGGGATTAAATGAAGCGCTACAGTCTCATCAGTATCCGTTACCCTTACCAGAAGATCTTTTCGCTAAGCTGAACGGTGGCAGATATTTTGCAAAATTGGACTTATCAGACGCATACCTACAAATCCCTGTATCTGATGAAAGCAAAGATCTCTTAACGATCAACACACACAAAGGTCTGTTCCGGTATAACCGACTACCTTTTGGGGTAAAGACAGCACCCTCTATTTTTCAGCAAATTATGGATACCATGTTACAAGGTATTTCAGGAGCTGCAGCCTACCTAGACGACATCATAATTACGGCAGTAGATAAAATGGACCTGCAGAAGAAACTGGACCAGGTACTAGAACGCATAGCTGATTATGGTTTTCGCCTCCGAGCGGAAAAGTGTGACTTCTATATGCAGCAAGTACGGTACCTTGGGTTCATAATAGATAAAGACGGAAGACGACCAGATCCAGAGAACATTGAAGCAGTGAAAACAATGCCTAGACCCAGGGACGTTACAACCCTACGATCATTCTTGGGATTGGTCAGTCATTACGGTACCTTTCTCCCCGATCTCCATCGTCTACGTGCTCCACTAAACAACCTACTACAAAGGAACACAAGATGGAATTGGTCTGCAGACTGCCAAGCATCTTTTGAGAAAATCAAGCAACTCCTAACTTCCGATCTCTTATTGACACATTATGATCCTTCTCTACCGATAGTCGTCGCTTCAGATGCTTCTAACTATGGTGTGGGCGCAGTTATCTCTCATATTTTTCCTGATGGGTCTGAAAAAGCTATCTCACACGCTGCCAGATCTTTGACAACGACTGAAAGGAACTATAGCCAAATCGAGAAAGAAGCCCTATCGATTATATTTGCAGTGAAAAAGTTCCACAAGATGATATATGGTCGACATTTTACCCTAATAACAGACCATAAGCCACTACTTGCAGTGTTTGGGTCAAAGAAAGGAATTCCCGTTCATACAGCTAACCGACTCCAACGATGGGCAACCACACTTCTGGGTTACGACTTCAAGATCAAGTATCAGTCTACTACCGCTTTCGGGCAAGCTGACGCATTGTCGAGATTAATAGGCTCCCAATCGAAAACCCCGGAGGAGACTCTTGTAGCAAATATAAAAGCCGAGGAAGAAGTTCATCGCGTGTTGGATGACGCAGTTAATGGACTCCCAGTAACCTTTGAAACTATCAAGAAGATAACTGAAAGTGATAAGATACTGAGCTCAGTTAAAAGCTATCTCTTGACGAAATGGCCAAACAATCGCCTCGACGGAGAACTCTTGCAATATTTTCGTCGACGGGACTCTCTAATGGTTGTTGACTCCTGTATTATGTTCGGTGATCGCATTGTTGTCCCGAAGTTACTACGTCACAAGGTCCTCAAGCAGTTTCACAGTGGCCATCCTGGAATCAGTAAAATGAAATCTTTGGCTCGTAGCTATGCTTATTGGCCGTCAATGGACACAGATATCGAGAATAAATGCCGTAACTGTTCATCATGTATCCAAGCCGCTAAAAATCCTTCGAAATGCGAGCCTCAGTGTTGGCCTATGCCCGCGGGACCCTGGGTAAGACTTCACGCAGATTTTGCCGGTCCAATCCAAGGGAAAATGTTTCTAATTATCGTAGATGCATTCACTAAATGGCCGGAAGTATACATCATGCCAAATTGTACAACGTCAGAAACGATCCGCAAGTTGTCTATCCTATTTAGCAGTTTCGGAGTGCCAGAGACCTTAGTGACGGATAACGGCTCTCAGTTTGCCGCAGAATCGTTTAAACATTTCTGCAGAACAAACGGAATAAATCATCTTCGTTCTCCACCCTATCATCCACAATCAAACGGACAAGCAGAGCGCTTTGTGGACACTTTTAAACGAGCATTACTGAAAGGGGGAGGAGAAGGGACGACTGAGCAGGTGATCACAAAATTTCTGACATCATACAGATCCACCCCAAACCCAAATGTTCAAGACGGCAAATCTCCCGCGGAAGCCATGTTTGGAAGGCGTATTCGAACAGTCTTCGATGCCATGTTGCCATCCAAACCAGTGGATGAGCGTAGTCGCGACCCAAGTATCCGGAACTTCAGTATTGGCGACAAGGTCTACATTAAATCCTACATCGGGAAGAACCGATGGGAGCCGGGCGAAGTGGTGCAAAAACTGGGAAGAGTACTGTACAAAGTTCGAGGAGCTTTTGGGACATGTATACGTCATACAAATCAAATCCTTAAGGACAAAAGGACAGTGCAGACTCGAAGTAACCGGCCGACTTTCCCGTTAGAATTAATCTTAGACGCACCAATGCCACAAACGCCCAGGAACACTGAAAAGAAGTCTTGGACAAGAAAGACGACAAGAATAATGGGACGCCGTCGCAATCCAGTTATCAAACTACAAGTGGATCCCAGAAAGAAATCTTATTCGGGGGAGGTGTTGGGTCGGCTTCCGGAGAACTTCAACGGAGCCTCCAGAGGCCCACAAGGAGCCGAAGAGTCCTGGCCAATCAGAGTGTGATGGAACGTTCTAGAATTCCAACGTGGCGTGCTACTATTGGTCGGTAGCATAATGTGCTGTTATCGGATTGGCTGTAAAATGATGTTGATTTAACAGACGCCAAAATCTATAAATACCCATGATTTTCTGTACAAAGATGAACCTTGGAATAAAGTGCTTTCTCTCATTCTTGTGTCTTCTCTCTGGAGTTCAAGTCGCTGTGTAGTTCTAGACTGCGGGTTATCGGAATAGCTTAGGAATCGTATATAGCGTTCAACCTATACGTCTTATCAGATATCCACAAAAAACCAAATAAAGACGAATTCTAATAAATTCGAAGAATAGTAAAAGTTGCCTTTCAACCCAGTTAAGTAATATTTTTCGAAACTAAAAATTATTATGTTGTAGAATTTCGTTATTCAATCGATAATATTACCGTCATAATTAGAAACGCAATATTAAAGCTTTTCAACAGTCTGAGATGAGAAATGCTTTCGTGAATATACAGATGTATTTCATAAACAGACAGTTGAAAATATGATACACTCTCTCATAACTTTACTCTTTTTCTTATCAGGTATCTTGTGGTGATATCGAACGATCATGCACAACCATTTGTTCCATTTTTGAGGTAACCAATATGATTTGATAATCCTCACTGAACAAAAATAAATTCATGTAAATATTTGTATGATAAGAAATGGATTAGTTTATTTTATTTTTATTATGAATGGTAAATATGTTTCTGAAATACAATACAGCTGATACACATACCAACACAATCACATTTGATGAAGAATCTGTGTTAGATGTGGGGACATTCACGTAGCTGAGATAGGCAACATAATCGATGAACAAAGAGGATATGATGCAGACGTAAAACAAGGATTGTCAAAGCATGAACAGCATTCGTTCACTTAAACAACATATAGAATTCAAAACAAAACTGTCTGCAAGCCAACATCAAATTCACATTCTTCAATACGAACGTCAAGATAGTTCTACTATACTGAGCTGCAACTTCGAGAACCACCACAACAGTCATCAAACATTTACAAGTATTTATAAACAATCATCTACTCGAAATACTCTATATTTGTTTGTCGGATACCATCAGCAAGAGTGTATTGTGGAAGAGAACGAGCCACCTTGCAGTTGAGGATTGAATTAGAAAAGGATGCTAGATGTGGATAGGATATACATTACGGAAATCCTCAGACTGCATCTCGAGATAAGCGTTAACTTGGAATCATGAAGGGAAACAAAAAAGTGAAATACCAAATAACACACAACTTCGGGAATTGGAAGCAGACATCAAAGAGTGAAAATCGATTATAAACAAGTGGAAAGTATTGTCGTGGATAGAGTTGGATGGAGAATCGTCATGGTCAGTCTATTCTCCTCCACAACTAGGGTAATTGGCGTAATAGTGTAAATAAGTAAGTAAGTAAGCATGATGGTTGGTAAGTAAGTATGATGAATATGAAGTGAATGTCATTAAGTTCACACTAACAGTCACGATAACTTCTAAGGTATCTTTATCTTCTAACAGTTAAAATGTCAATAAATTTATCTTTTGAGGCATATAACTTAAAATGTATTTTTTTATGTCAAATATTATTTAGATCTTCCCATACCACATGAAACGATGTCTGTGTAGTTAGCATTAGACATTTGTTATTCTCTCTTCAGTTGTGGAAGAACTTTAGATATTTGGCATTCATTCAAACTATTCTGAAAAACCTCTTAAATATCCAGTCGATTTCCAATTTGAAAATTCTTGGTTAACACAATCCCACAAGTACCTCCAGAGCAACCTTTCCACGGTGTGGGCAACCAGGAAGTAATAACCGCTTCACACTTATAACAGCACTCAAGACCACTGTATTCATGATCAACCTCCCTCTTCAATTCCTATTATTCCTCCTACATCGACTTTCAACTCTAAATTTCCTCTTTCGGCTTCCCCCTCAAGTGTCACCATAGACAACTATTCTAGTGCTCAAAACACTGTCCCAGGTCTACTGAAACCTCGCTCCAAACTACATATTGAAGCCTTCAATGTACGCATCCTATGTCAAATCGGTCAGCAGGCTTCCTTGGCCAAAACCCTAGAATCTCGTACCATTGATGTATGCTGTGTCTCCGAAACACGCATACAGGATCCCAGTGTGGTCATTCACTTGACCTCACCTCGGCAAGAACGGAGAGCCAACGAGATACACCCTTCGTGTATCTGGTGACCCGATGGCCAGTTCTCGTGGACTGGCAGGTGTAGGCATAGCACTAAGCATGAGGGCGGAACAAGCACTGCTAGAGTGGATCCCCGTTAACAGTCATTTATGTGCTGTTCGGCTAAATGGCTCCGTAAGAACTCGGAAGGATAAGGACACACGTCGTTGCCTTTTTGTCGTTTCTGCCTACGCTCCCACCGACTGCAGCTCAGACGAAGTGAAGGATGAATTTTACAGAAATCTATCTGAACCTCTTCAGAAAGCTAAACGTCCAGACATAGTACTCATAGCAGGTGACTTTAATGTCCAGATAGGTAGTTTAAACCAAACAGAAAGGCATTTAGGGGGATATTTTAGTATTCCGACACAGCGAACAGATAATGGTGATCGTCTGCTGCAGCTATGCTCAGACAATCGTTTATTTTTAGCAAACACAAACTTTAAGCATAAGGAAAGACATCGTCTAACATGGCGACCCCCTACACCAAACCAACGATGGACTCAAATAGACCATATTGCCATCAGTCATCGTTGGAGAGGGTCGGTAGGAGATTGTCGCTCACTCTAGAGTACCTGCTTGGACTCCGACCATGCCCTAATACGGGCACGCATCTGCTTGCGCCTCACTGGACGCAAAAAAGCCACATTAAAAAGACCCATTAGAACTGAATTGAGTAACGAGAAAACGAAAAGTAGGTTCCAGGAACAACTGAGGTCACACTTATGTAGTTGTGAAAACGAGGCTGACCCAGATGTTGCTTGGAAAGATATACAAACAGCTGTGGAAACAGCAGTGACATCTATTAGTGACTTAAACCACCGAGTTACAAAGAACCAGTGGATTTCTTCAAAGTCTATTACATTGATGGATTCTCGCAAACTCGTCCCATCAGGTTCTGAACATGATGAAGAGCGTAAACAAATCAGATCTAGGTTAAGAAAAAGTCCAAGAAACGACCGTGAGTAGTAGTGGGCAACGAAAGCAAAAGAGATGGGAAAGGCTGCGACTATAGGGAACACAAGACAGCTTTACAGACTAATAAAAGAAACTGGAACTAATAAGTCAAGTGTAAGTGAGATTATTTCGGAAAAAGACGATACTCTCATCTGCTCCCAGTCCAGACGTTTAGAACGATGGGCGGAACACTTTAGGGAACAGTTCAGCTGGCGTTCAGCGACTCTACAACTACCCTCCATTCCCAGACAGTGTGAATGGAACATTGAAGTAGGTCCTCCAACTCTAGCTGAAGTTCAAAAGGCTATAGTTAATCTGAAACGAGGAAGGGCAGCTGGTCCAGATGGATTAGCTCCAGAAGTCTTTAAGGATGGTGGTCCAATTCTAGCGATTAGGTTGACTAATATTTTAGCTAAGATCTGGGAATTAGACGTTATTCCATCTGACTGGCCGCAATCACTTATCGTCCCAATATATAAGAAAGGGTCAAAATCATCCTGTGACAACCACAGAGGGATTAGTTTAACTAACATAGTATCTAAAATACTAGCCTCGATATTTATCAGATGCCTAACTAAGACTCGTGAACTGCAAACACGAGAGAATCAAGCTGGCTTCAGACCTGGTCGTGGCTGCATCGACCACATATTCACCATTCGTCAGGTTCTAGAACACAGGCATACTTATCGACGTCCGACAATGGTGGTCTTTCTTAACTTAAAAGCAGCATTTGACTCGGTAGACCGCGAGATTCTGTGGCAGTGTCTGTCATTGAAAGGCGTACCTCACAAGTACATAAACCTTGTAAAGGCTCTTTACTCGAACACTACTAGTCGAGTCAGAGCTTATGGCGAACTGTCATCTACTTTCGCAACCTCAAGTGATGTCCGTCATGGCTGTCCACTTTCTCCATTTTTGTTTAACTTCATCATAGACCTACTGATGGAAATAACATTCTCGTCGACTGAATTCTCGAGTATTGATCTCCTTCCAGGAGGTCCACTTATCGACTTAGAATACGCAGATGATATAGTCCTGTTCGGTGAAGACGCTGACAAAATGCGGAGTGTTTTGGTAGCACTAAGCAACAATGCCAGAATGTTTGGAATGAGCATCTCTCCCTCTAAATGCAAGTTGTTGCTTCAGGACCGGTCTGCGTCAACACCTGAACTAAGGATAGGGAGTGAAGTAGTCGAACGCGTCGACAACTTCACTTATCTTGGAAGTCTGATCAGCCCTAATGGGTTGGTGTTTGACGAAATCTCAGCACGGATTCGAAAAGCTCGTTTGGCTTTTGCCAACTTACGTCACCTTTGGCGGAGGCGAGATATCCGTCTATCAATAAAAGAACGAGTATACTGCGCGGCAGTTCGTTCTGTTTTAATTTACGGCAGCGAAACATGGCCTTTAAGAGTAGAAGAGACTCGTAAGCTATTAGTATTTGACCACAGATGCTTTAGAAATATTGCTGGCGTCTGTTGGGATCACCGGGTAGGTAATAGTGAAGTTAGACGCAGGGTATTAGGGAATGATGGTAAATCAGTTGATGAAGTTGAGAATCTTCATCGACTGAGATGGTTGGGCCACGTGTTACGTATGCCTGAACACCGATTACCACGTCGTGCAATGCTGACGGGTGTTAGAGATGGTTGGAAGAGAATTAGGGGCGGCCAAACCAAAACATGGGATCAGTGCTTGAAGTCACTAACCTCTAGTCTGAGCCATGTTGGAAGATGCAGACTACTTAGTTGGGGTCCGCGTGACTTTCGTAACCAATGGTTGGAGACTCTTGGTGACATGGCTCAGAATTGACCACAATGGCGTCGGTGTATACACTCTCTGTCTTCCCTTAAACTAAGAGATTAAAATCACTTCATATCTTTCTTTCTACGAACTAATTGTTTCTTCCTGTACTTTATCCTTATATGCAATCTTTCTTTTATATATTACCACCTTTGACCTAAACACTCTTATGAATCTGCTGTTCATCTTGCTGTGCTAATGAGGTATGGCAACCTGGACCGATGCAAATATGTGCCTGGTCCTACGTTGTAGCTGACTGACTGACTGACTGAAGTGCCATTGACAGTGAAATTAAAGTTGTGTCTAAAGGTTCTAAATACCTTGACGGAACGAAGATTTCATGGGATTAGGATTGAGCAAAATAAAATATATATGGAAATGAATTAGAAAATAACAATCATTTATTCTAGTTCACTTCAATGAAACTAGCTGACGACCTGAACTGACAATACACTAAACCTCATAATAATTCTTAAGTCAACTATGCCGAGAAAAATAATCTATCAAAAGGTAACTTGCACTTTAATGAAGATTGAAGCCAGTCATTAAACTAACATTGACTATAATTCCATAAAATGGAGTCGTTTTTATAGTTTCCAGTACAATGCAACTTTACATTACGTAATTAGCATTTCGAGGAAAATGCAATGTATTTACTTGATTATTTTCTACTACTCAAATTATATGTATGTAATATAATGCAATAAAATGTATAGCAAATAATAACTTTGCACTTCTACAGTTCTCTTGGTATACACCCACCAGAAAAATACTTGTTTACGATTATCATGAGTTTATATGGATTAATGTGTAAGTAAACTAAACTTTATAACTTTGTGCATAATTGACAATCAAAATTACATAATATCACAAATTTTTAAAGTGCATATCAGTGTTTAGAGCTATATGATTTTACTAAGCTGAATACAATATGTGAAGTAAAGAAATGGAATTAAGTATTGTTTGTGTTCTCTTACTACAGATTGTTAGAGTTAGTCGCTGATCCACAGTGATTCGTATATCATGAAGCATTTGACAATCTATGAAATTACAATTCTATGTTCGTCGCTGGAGATATTCACCCGAACCATGAAATTCGTCTTTGTAACATTTGACTCCAATTCTACAATTACACTTGTAGGAAGTATGGAAGTTTGTGATTAATTCTCTTTGGCAGGAAACTTTTCCACTCACACTAGTTTTCCCGCTAAAAAGATCTTTAGTAGTTGAGCTAAAGCTGACACCACCACATTTCTCAATAAACCGTGTATTTTTGTCTTAAAATCATCATATTATGTCACTACATTATTTACAAGTTCTGTGAAATGTTAGAAAAAAGCTTGTTATAAAGTTCCAAACAGCAAATACTGGCGTTAATGGGGAGGCTACCAAACTCCACACAAACTCTAGTGTCCAAGCCAAAGTAAAGTGTTAGTCTGTATTGTGTGTAAGTATGTTTAGCATAGGAGTGAACAGAAGACTCAATCTCGTTAGCGAATGTTGTAGTGTGCGTTTGAGTCCAAGTGATCTAAGTATCAAAACTGAAGTTATATATAATATATTGAATTATGATGGACGTTTAAAGACTGGATGTATAATGGGAAAATCCACTTTCATCGTGTAGCATTTATCAGTGATTTTGTAAACTTCTCAGATACTGTGTTTGTGATCGCCTAACAGATAGTTCAGCCCGATCAGCTTACACCGTTCGGTCTACTGATTCTTCTTCTTTGTAAAATCAAACCAGAACATCTATAGTTCAAAATGTTTGTCTGTTGAAAGAATAGGCGTTAAAAACACCATCTGTTTTGTGTTGTGCGTAGCTGATGCATAGTGAGTATCTCTTCTAGTAAACTACAGAGTAATGTGAGAATCGAGGCTTTTGTAATAAATTCTCTCTCCAGTAAGGCTAATTTTGTTGCATAATTGCGGTTTATGTGATTTCCTCCTAATGTGACTACTTCTCTACATAAACGTCCTAGTGAACACTTGAGTAGTAGTGATTTATGGTACACCCAATGCACGTGATGTGGAAGAGGAGAAGGACTTGACGGCTTAGTGACGTTTCACGAAATACATTATGTTCGCTACACGTGCAAAGAACTAATATAGAAAAAATGTTTCTCTTATCTAGTGTAGTAAGCAGATGATGAATTACATATTTTGAAAAGCAACAAATTTCGATAGACTCTTCATTTCCGATTGCTTTGAAATTTTCCAATGACAACGTAAATACCTTATCAAACCAATTCATATTACACACCATGATAGAGACACCGGATACGACAAGTAATAATTTACTAGATATTAATAACGTATTGCATTCTTGAATTGGAATCTTTTGTAGCGTTTAGCGTTGAGTAGGTTTGTCAATAATCTGAAGGTAGGTTATATGTTGAGGGAGTGTGAGGAGGAACAAGTGTGAAAGGAACTGGAAGAGAAAATATGAACCGACTACTCGGTAATCACACAGAGTGTTCTTACATTTAACAGTGGAATTAGTCGACAGCAACCAACAATTTGATAGTCGAAACTAGAAGTTGGTGGATTCAGGTTTGAAATGCATTACACTGAACCGTATTTATTTTCCCACTGTTCTTCAACTACTTTTCATTTTTAATTAAAGCAACTATCAGTCAATGGTTTTGGTTATCTATGGTGAGTAAGAAATTTAAAAAAGGAATACATTTGGGAATCGGTCAATACATCTGCAAATTTATTGCACTGCTCTATACCATATCAGGAATTTGCATTGTTCTGCTGTCTATCTTTAATGTACGTTTAGTTGATTAAACTTGTTGAAAGACCATTACAGAATATTAGTATCATAACAGACACTGATTGATATGATTTGAGCAAATAAACATTTAGTTGAGTCATGTGTTATGGTAGTGTAGTCAAGACGTTTGACCGGAGATCTCAGTCATGCTAATTACTTGTACGGAATATGTTCACTTGACTGATGATAATAATAATGACAATTTTTTTAACAATAATAATAGTGACAATAACAATGGTGAGAAAGATAACGTAATAGTCATCAGCATGACGAATAATGTCTTCCATTATTCAAGTAACAAATTCATTCAGATTATTTTATCTCGTAATCAGTTAGTCACATTATTCTGCCATTTCCGAACAACTAATCCTCAAAACGATGCTCACGGAACATTAGTTATCTGAATTTTACAGAAGTGTTATATAGTAACTAAAGCACTTTATTCTTTGTGTTTCAGATGAAAGATGCCAATCGCTTACACTATTGTTTAACTATGGTCAACTTTTTTTGCCAAGCAACTGCGATGCTATTGGGTTCAGCACTTGTCTTTTGGGTTTATCGTCCGATGAAATCGTTTCTGATTGCTAGAATTATTGTCATACTTCAGTTATTTCTCGGATCATATTTCTGTAAGTTACATATCATGTATCGAAATTTCAAACACACTGAATAAAACGTTTCATGATAATCGTGTTTACAGTTTACAGTCACATATTTCAGGCATTCTGTAATGTGCTTTATGTTTGCTGATTGATGATATTCTGTAAGTGAGAAGCATCCTCAACCTTATCTCACTCATCTATATCATTCAGACTGAGCTGATAACTTTGTGGGAACAACCTCTAGTTAGATATGAATGTGTATGGAAATAGTGACACATCGAAATCCAATTAAATAATATATGTGTATTTGTATCTCTATTTGGTTTCATTGTGAAAATCGTGGTTCTTCGATATTACACCTCACTTGCATAATAATGCATTGTTGTGTAGCCTGCTTAAACCAGTTTAATGGATGTTCCGTGTTTTCTGTGTTCATTTGTGTACCCCAGTTGTTTATTTCAATCGCGCTGCACTGTTAGTGTTTGTTGGGGAGAACATCTACTACACAAAGGAACATGAACCGGTAAGTGTACATTATCAACTGTAAATACATGTGTTTCATGACTTGAATAAGTGAACAGGTAATTCCTGTTGATGCATTTATGCATTAAAATCTCATTGATCTCAAGAATTCATAATTAAATAGTTGTAAACATTGCTGAAAATTAGTAGTCAATTCACTGAATCGTGGATTGGTAACGACAGTTGTATTGTGATGCCAAATAAAGATTGTAAATAAAAAAGTGATAATGATGAGGCTACATCAATATAAAATTAATACTTATACTGAAAATATGACTGTATAGATGTTGTGACTGAAGGTGTCCGAAGCACATACTGTTACGCGATGTGGGATAGTTGATTGCTGTTATGAGATGAGAACAATAAGCGAATAAAAGGAAATTACGTATATATGTCTGTTACTCCTGTAACCCAACGACGTGGATGAGCATAAGCTGTCCATGAGGATTATCCATCCAACTCTATCCACGACAATACTTTCCACTTGTTTATAATCGATTTTCACTCTTTGATGTCTGCTTCCAATTCCCGAAGTTGTGTGTTATTTGGTATTTCACTTTTTTGTTTCCCTTCATGATTCCAAGTTAACGCTTATCTCGAGATGCAGTCTGAGGATTTCCGTAATGTATATCCTATCCACATCTAGCATCCTTTTCTAATTCAATCCTCAACTGCAAGGTGGCTCGTTCTCTTCCACAATACACTCTTGCTGATGGTATCCGACAAACAAATATAGAGTATTTCGAGTAGATGATTGTTTATAAATACTTGTAAATGTTTGATGACTGTTGTGGTGGTTCTCGAAGTTGCAGCTCAGTATAGTAGAACTATCTTGACGTTCGTATTGAAGAATGTGAATTTGATGTTGGCTTGCAGACAGTTTTGTTTTGAATTCTATATGTTGTTTAAGTGAACGAATGCTGTTCATGCTTTGACAATCCTTGTTTTACGTCTGCATCATATCCTCTTTGTTCATCGATTATGTTGCCTATCTCAGCTACGTGAATGTCCCCACATCTAACACAGATTCTTCATCAAATGTGATTGTGTTGGTATGTGTATCAGCTGTATTGTATTTCAGAAACATATTTACCATTCATAATAAAAATAAAATAAACTAATCCATTTCTTATCATACAAATATTTACATGAATTTATTTTTGTTCAGTGAGGATTATCAAATCATATTGGTTACCTCAAAAATGGAACAAATGGTTGTGCATGATCGTTCGATATCACCACAAGATACCTGATAAGAAAAAGAGTAAAGTTATGAGAGAGTGTATCATATTTTCAACTGTCTGTTTATGAAATACATCTGTATATTCACGAAAGCATTTCTCATCTCAGACTGTTGAAAAGCTTTAATATTGCGTTTCTAATTATGACGGTAATATTATCGATTGAATAACGAAATTCTACAACATAATAATTTTTAGTTTCGAAAAATATTACTTAACTGGGTTGAAAGGCAACTTTTACTATTCTTCGAATTTATTAGAATTCGTCTTTATTTGGTTTTTTGTGGATATCCTTGGAACTACTCTTATGATTCACCTATAAATTAATAGGACAATCTTTATTAGTATGATTTCCAGAGGTGTATAATTTTCAGAATAGTGAGTGATTTATTAATAATAATAGTTTATTTCATCGAGCAGATCAAGTTACACGACCAGCAAAACTACAGCTAGTGACGTGAATTGTTCAGTGAAACTTAACAACTGAATGTGCATGGAAATATGAATAAGTTATCAAGCGTTTAGGCAATTAATGCTTGGGCGAGTTTGTGAATAGTGAGTAGGCAGATAATGCACACCATCATACACGCCCGTTCATATAAGCATATGGATATGAAAGCTCAATATGTGATTATTTACGGAGTAGTGAGTCATAAATAGAAGTTTATTTCATTTGTGAAAAGATCGATACACAGATAAAACAGCACTATTAACTCCATGACTTAGTGGATAACGTTTTGGGTGTTCGAATCGAAGGGCACTATGGTTGAGTCTGAGAGTAGGAATTAACATTGACGTGTTGCGTACATTTTACTGATGAGTCCTAGATATTATGAAACACAGATCATGGATATGATTGTGAATCGTTCTTACACTTGCTTAAACATATAATAATACTACTTGTCTATCCCAAATTAGTTGGAAATATTTAGCTTATCTGCAGGTGTATAAACCAGTGTTTTGATAAGTATACTATTGGTTAAATGATTTATCTCCGATTATAGAACACTGTTTATTGAAGATAATTTACATTAGATAATATTTAGATTGTATGGAATGTGAAATCCAAATTATCAAGGTGATACACAATAAGTGCATTACGCTACTAAGATGTACTATGAAAAAGTGCTTAAAACAGATATTCCTTCAATCGATATAGTTAATTATTTTATGTGACTACATTACTACATATTTTCATAATTTGACTCTGATCACTGGTTACTGTTGACCTATGAAGGAATGCAAATCAAACTGTATATTAGAATACTTTTTGTATAGATGATAGAATTATAGAGATAGTGAAACAGATCGCGTGTAAATTATTATTAGTGTTGAAATAAAATGAAGAGATTGTTCAAATTTGAAGTATTAGTTGATGGAAATCAATAAGAAGTTAAGCAGTAGTAGAAGTTAATTTCAAATTATTTTTCAATGGTCGTTATTATATGCTGCTAATGCTTTAGGGGCACGGTATTTGACTCCAGTATTATTGTATGATTGATTGTTATCGAAATATACATGTCGGCTCTCCTCATATATTATTATCGACTTAAAACGCATCAGTGAATAATGGAATTAAATAAGCCAAATACCAGAATGGACTTTGAATAAGAATATTTTGTGCAAGCGTTGATCGGAACAGACAATCAGAGAGACGTAGCGAAGGAAGAGATGAACAGGGAATAAGAGGGAACGAAACGAAACGAATTGTCGCGCAGTTGAGTAGGCACAAAAGCCAACTCGATTCAACCAAGCGTGTATCGATGTTTATAGTCAAACAAAAATAAGTTAGAGATTTGTGATGAATAGGATGAGAAGTGCACACACATACGCTCATATAAAAACAGTCAAGTGAATAATTAACAAGGTCAAAATAAATTGGCTTCAGATGAAACTAGCACCAGCTGTGTGGGCTTAACATAGCAACCGACACTAAATACTAATTGCATATCAAGTATTTCGACTCACACAATCTAAACAGGGATAGTTTTTTAAGAACACGACATTTATTTTAATCCTCCTCTCCACACTCACACATCACCATCCACCCCTACCCTCTTCCCGTCAGTCAAAAGGTCATTTCAGCCGGTCATTGAAATACGTATTATCGGACCCCTAAATGTAGTGAATTTCGTCCGGCAATATCAATTCTAGTCAAATATGTTGTCAGTTGTGTATTTTTTAAACAGTGGGGTCGGTTTATTTGGTGAAGAGGCGCACGTTGGTGTAGTATTTTCAACATAAACGGAACACCTGAGACAAATGAACACTAATGAGAGTGTACCTTTCTGCCATTTTAATAACAATAGACAGTCATCAAAAACCAAATGATTTTTCTTCAAAATAAGTCTGTTAAAGGAAATGTCACCGTCAGCGACCAACAACTCCTCAAGTGACACATGGGTTTGTCTCGAAGTAAATTCTTTATCCATAGGTCGAGACAGCCTGTTCGTAGTGGTTGTGAATCCTATATATTTGCATGCTCGGATAATCGAAGGCTCTTATGCTGTATCCAGATGGCCACTTCATCATTATCAAGTACGGGCAAATTATTATCTTTTATTACAAACAGTGGGAGAATAGATTGAATTGAGTGCAGACATGTGCTCAATCATACTCACAAAGAAATTTACATAGTGGATTATGTGTCTAAATTACAGTGAGCAGATATATAATACAGTAGTTGAATGGGCTTACTACAAGTGATCTCTAGCAAATCAATATGTGCTTCTTTTATGCCACAGAGTTTCGAAACTTATAAAAATGTTCAACAGGTTTTTTAAAGCTTCCTTTGATTTACATTTCATTACAACGAATTAAAACACAAATACAGTGAAGATAGTCGTTCGAATACATTCTGTTATTTCACCAGTTATAATTTATAAAGTGTGAGTCATCACAATATTAATCCTGTCCTTCTTTGGTACACATGAACTACCTAGATCATCTTGATAATTATAAGTAAACATTTGAATAAATTTCAAAGAGATACTTCCTTCGAAATAATCGGTTTATATGTTTTTATTCTAACACAAGTAGTAATGCTGATGTTTGCAGAGATCTGTTAACTCTGATTAATAGAACATTGTCGACCATCTGTAATTAGTATAATATTTCCGGATATACTGTATATCAGAGTAAAGCGTAATAGAAATCTAAGTGAAAGTAATATTGTTCGCTTATATGAGTTGTTCTAATTTATTATATGGGAGTATTCAGGGTTTTAGTGTGGCGAAATGTAACCACTGTGTTATCGAAAAAATGAAGACGATTAAGCGAAAAAAAATTTATTATCGACGACAAGTTTTATGGTCGTATTTATAACAATTCACTAAATATATTCGTCCCCTGGAAAAAAGAGAAACAATAACACAACGAAGTGCTTTGAGTTTTCTAGTGTGCGCGATCTTTACACAGCACTCTGTAGATATTTGAATTTTCCAAACACCTTATGCTAACATTCCTCCTTTTTTTCATTAGACTAACATATATATTGGATTGTTTTAGGTACAATTTTAAAACTTGATTGAATAATGTCATCGAAAGTAGAAATTTCTTCTTTGAATCGTCATTAATAATTTCGGATTTTTGCGTTGTCGAGTTCTCTGAGCTAGCTGGTTTCGTTTCAGAGCTTTCATTTTCTTTCTGGATAACATCAGCAGTGCATGATTTAAATGGAATGTTGTACAACTGATGATATGCAATAAAGTAATATGGCTAAATGACAAATAGTCACAACACCGAACTATTGACGTTAGCTACTGAATAAACAGATATATAATGGTAAGACATCTTCCAGAAGAATAAGTTTTTCTATAGTGAAGTAACGTGCTCGCATTCAAAATATTGGCTACAAAGATGAACACGATCAGAAGAGATCAAAAGATGAGGACTTCGTTTATTTTTAGATGTCAATCGAAATTAAGGACTGGTAACTGGGTATATTGCATTTTAGCCATACAATACAAACTAACCCTTTATATTTCAATAAAGTCGCATTAAATCTACTCATTCTAACAGTGCGATACGAATATAAATAACTGAATTCGTTCTAAAATAATATAACAATGAGTTTTGATTTCAAACATATTATGAAAAGTGAAAATGAACTCAAACTTCCCCTACATTTATTTTGAGAATGTGACTAGTATTTTCGATCAGGAATTCACATAGATTGAAACTTATTGTTACACACAATGGTCTTTCTCAGTTGACTAATTTCCGTATGATTTTTAACCACAATGCATTGTATCCCTTTATCGAATTCACTCCCAATGTTATATTATATTCTCACTAAACTCATGTAAAACATTAAGGAGGAAAAATACATTTGTGAAATCTCAGTGATTGGATTTTAAGTAAATCCTATGTTTCGCTCTACAATCATGACAACTGATCGTCAGAATTAAGGAACACCAACTTTGTTTGAGGCACATTCATCACAAATCTCCAGACAGTATGAAGAAATACTTAAAAACAAGTCAGTGGTAGCATTGCACTTAGTAGAATCGGGCCATATAGTTTGAGAGGATAACGGTAAGTTAGTGCGAATGATGTTACTTTTCTTGTAAGTTTTGTTTATATCTGGCTTGTAGGAAGTTATACATTATGTATGATATATCGGTTTACACAATCATCATGATTATCTCTGTTCCTTCAGTAGTGTATTCAATTGCTGTAGTATAATATATAAACATAAAATAACAAAGTTTATCCTCCAAGTGTATAGTGATCAACTCAGTGATATGTACTGTAGTGGTAAAGGAAGGCGTAGTTGAATTCAGATTTGCATTTATGTATATGTATGTTTAACTACGTTATCTAATGAATTAAGACGAATATAAATTCTTCAACTACAGTATAACAATAGGAAGTTTATGTTAGGGAAAGATGTGGAACAAGACGTTTTGAAAAGCATTTGATAAGATGGTATTGGAACTTCACACTTGAAATAACTTTTCAATGTCCGATCACACTAAAGCAATGAATTTACACATTTATACTGTTATGAAAAACATTATACATGCCATATAGATCTGTGAAATATTTTGGTTTAAAGTTGCTTACAATCGTTTTGGTTAGCTTCGTCT